CAGCTTAATATGCACCTAGCTTTGCTGCTCCCACAATTCCTTTTAATAGTTCATCGGCTAAAACCGAGCTTTCACAGGATGCAGAGTCTTTGAACTTCAACAGGACCCTTGCACTCCTGAAAACGCCGTGCGGAGATATGAGGAACGATCGTACATGGTGGCAACTGCTGCTTCCAGAACAGGCTTAATAGGCCAATAATCTGTAGTTGTGTATATGCTAGCTAAATACCTTGCTATAATAATTTATATATCTAAAGACGAATTTTCTGTGTGGCCATTTCTAGAAGATCTACGCTTAGTTATACATGATTTGCGCATAATTATTGTTTTCATTTGCACGGACTCCTTTTTACTCATGCGTATTTTGAATAAAATGAATCTTAGATGTAATTTTTGGTTTTCAATAATGCTTCGACCTCGAGTGAAAAGACTTTTTTCTATTGTTTATTTTTCAACCACGCTTTACTGATTTTTATAATCAATATGCTATTCTTAATAAAATACTCGTTAGATCCTATTGATTCGATTTCGTTATCACTAATTTAACTCTTATGAACTGATTTTAATTCACGTGTTTCTATCTTTAGACATAAGAACTACAGTTTTCTGATCTCATCATAGCTGCGTCAAGTGTTGCTACTCGATGCGCTGCAGAAGGCACTCTAATTGCACAGTTTCACAATACCATTTAATCCCAATTTAATATCATTTTCGAGCTCGTCTTACAGAATGAGCGAAATCTTAGGTATCAAGTATCGATGAAAAATATCCCTGTTCAAATTGGATGTCATCGTAACGCGATCATATTTGCGGTGTATGTTTGCATGTTAGGCGCTAGTCAATGAAAGACGATTGCGTTGGAGCCACTGAGCGGAACGGTGACGGTTGGGAGCAGAGGAAGGAAGCAAGTAAGTGGGCAACCCTCCCTTCGCGTTGCTCTTCACAGCAGTTGCCGGTTGCGTTGGGATAAGAATAGAATTTATGTTTGTCTGCAAACTTTAATGAGTGGAACTGTCTCTCTGAAATATTTTTCGAAGCTAAGTTTATATGTTCTCACATAGTTGTGACATTTCCCCCAACGAAACTATTCTCATATGTACGTGAAAGACAGAGACTCGCGGGTTTCGAGTCAGCGGCGCGTGGCAGAATCGCTGCCAGACGTCGGTCGGCCTTCCACTGAGTGGCTCACGACCATCACCGCCTGCTAAAGAAATATGGAAACGGTAGCGAACTTTCCGGTGACTGCATCCTGCTCGTAACTTCTGGGCGGCAGTTCAGCGGGTTGAGGAAATACCGATACGAGCAAGTGACTCCAACACGCCACCTTTAGTCGGGGTTTGAACTGTAAACCAACTTACCTACTCGTCTTCCACGCATCAGCATCTTCTTCACGGATGAATAGGATTATATCATTGTTTGTAGCACGTGTGGTATCTCCATATGCGTCCCAACAGAAGTACTTTCTGTAATCAATCGTAGAGAGAGTTAATTATTGAATAAATATGAATACGATAGTGGTTTCATTGCTACATTATGAATAGTAGCTATCTTCAGTACAAAACAATCGTGATCTATTGTTGAACATTACAGATGGAATAATGTTTATATGATAAATAATAGTGCATTCGTACAAAGAGAGTTCGCCTTCACAGCCGTTCGAACAAGTTTCTTCTTCAGTTTTGCAGAGTCGGTCATAAAATACAGTCAATGATGGCAAATTAAATTGGTCCCTGTTGCAATTCAGCGATCATCACAGCAACTATAGCTTTAGATAATATATATCATGTTTTAACCGACACGATTTATTTTACCCTCCAGTGTACCGAGTAGTAGAAAATGATCGCTGTTATTTGGCACTAATTAATGGAACTGACAAGGAAGTATAATGCACAAAAACCCAACAGCATTTTGATGCGATTAAAAAAACGTATTATTCAATTTCAGCGGGCTCAATTTTTGTGATGGCTTTAGTATATTTAGTGGAGTTGCCATGTAAGATAAGACAAAATATGGCCAGTCGCCGGTTCTAGACATAGCAGAATTGTTACAGATAGATGGGCTCGAAGCTACAATTAACTCACTACTCCAATGCATGTGCTCTTAACCAATTGAAGCGGCTTTGAAATTAACCTATTGTTTATGCACAACATTAAAAATTCGGCGTAGATTTCTCGGGTCCACTTGTTTAACATAAAATAAACCGAAAATTTTTATCTGGTTCTCATGCAATCTTCAATATATTCCCTATCTACAATCTAGAATTCAACAAAATTATAGAGAAAATATTTTTGACAATATGTCGTGTTCAATGTTTGATTCCACTGTAATCTAAAATACGTACCAATCAAAAACGAATACGGATCGAGGCATGATTAATAGGAAATCACCCAAAGTAGTTGTACCCGGTATAGCTAATTAATAAATATCAATTAATAGTATATAGTAATATATATTGAATGCCCTGGTCGCCTAGAAACCTGATGGTATCCCTTGAATGGAAAGTATTTTTCAAGGATGATGAGAACAATATTTCACTAATGTTCTGAATTTCAGCCAGCTTGTGACGTTTGATGCACTCGAGCTATCATTGCCGACTTAACGATAGTAACAGGTCATTCAAATCGGTCGTCTGCCACACGTAGCCACGCAAATCGGCTAGTGCCACGGTCACATTTAAAGTGGATCTTATTACTGTGGCGCTGCCAGACCGAGACCGGCCCGACAACAGGTGCATGAGGAGAGCGCCTGCCGGTGACACGGTTCGTTCGTCTGGGTGTGGTCACGTCTTTGCTGATCACTACTGCTTGGTTCTCCTCTCCTGGGCACACACAATCACCACTTGATCAGGCGACTAACATTCACCCGTTCCTGAGGCTTCCTTCCTCAATCAAGGGCTATCAAATATTCATTAAGATAACACATGAAGATTCAGTACTGGATGAAATGCTGCTGCGTTTCAGCTCTATGATACTTATTTCATGTTTTTAGACTCTTCTACGACTTCATCGTAATTTATTCCAGGTTACTCGTCATTATTGTGAAAAAAACACGTAAAAGTTATTGTTATATATAATGACAAATGCAGCTGCTGGCCGAAAGTTGCAAGGTGCGTGAGCGTGTCGTACGTCATCCTCGCAATACTTGAGTGACTTTTCGTTCAGTGCACACCCGCCTTGGCGACGACGCCCTTCCTCAGTCTAATTATTGGTACCTGCCCCGGGTCCCTTCGTCCTCTCATTTAAGGTAACGTGGGTCACACGTCTATAGGGAGTTCACTTCTGCACGTTGAATTATGACCCAAATATTTCTCATTAGTATTTTTCTGTGTGGCGTCAATGCGGCATCTTATCCATGTGAAGTAGTGGCATTTTTTTCTCTGCAAGCATTGGAGCGCAGAATGTCCATTAAATATATTTTTGGTTGTGTATTGTAAGCTTTATCAATGGTTAGTCTAACTACAATTGTTATTAGAATACTTATGGAGGTTTTAAAGGCTCATAAGTAATTTTGGAAAAACGTATAATTCGCAAAAAAATATAACTCGGTACTCACTGCAGTGAGTGATAGAGAGCGCATTTTCTCGTCGACGAAAACGTGAAGTCACGGAGAGACGGACATGACGAGCACAATAGTGTATTTCTTCCATAAATGAGAAAATGCGCTAATAGTCAGGTGGTCAATGAATTACAGGTTATTTACAAGGGATTTAAAAGCAAAGAAAACACCAAGCAAATTCGCCATATCGATATTGAAAACGTTTCGGAGTCCAGCTCCATCATCAGTTCGAAAAACTAAAATGAATAAAATCAAATTATTACAGCCAAATTCTAAGACAGACATAAAACCTAAGCAAGACCTAACATTATATCGGGGAAAAAACAGGAGCTCATTTTTAATTTTTAGTTTTTCGAACTGATGATGGAGCTGGACTCCGAGACGTTTTCAATATCGATATGGTGATTTAGCTTGGTGTTTTCTTTGCTTTTAAATTTCTTGTGAACTTGCGATATAAGCAGGCTGATAATATAAGTATAGGTTATCTATATATGCGATCCAACGAAGCATTGCGATTCACAGTACGCACACGATAGAATGTTACCATACACAATTCCGATTGAACGTTCACCTACAGTTCTTATTGAGAATTTCATTTACCTCATTATTATCTGACATTTTAGAAGAAAATGGGATTTTATCGTAATGGTTGAGAAAATTCAAAGCATGTAAAATATGATAGCTTCAACTGCTTTTGCCCTGATAGATTTTATGGGCGTCAATTAAGAAAATTAATCCAGAATTTCATCAAAATAATATATATTGAGTTCGGAATTCAATTTAAACAGGGTACTTTAATCTAATTACGTAGCTATTTTATAATATTTTCTTATTAAATATTCTCCTCTAAAGTACACATCGTAGCAATTGACCAAGCCCATTTTTTCTTCGTCCCAGCTGAGAGTATCCTACTTCAACAAGCTAAAGAATCTGATGCACTTGTCAGTGTTTTATTGTATTTAACTCATTTTCGTTAAAAATTTGCTACACTAGTCTGGAAGGCGGCAAATAATATTGTCAAAATCGCGTCAGCCGGCAGTTCACAACCCGGCAACTCGCACCTAGGTCACGGTGCGACATTTTTCCCACACTCAAAGTCCGATGGAAACGATGGGAGACCCACCGTCCAAAGGGGAATAAAGAATTCACTTCAACAATCAAAACAACGTGCAGTTTAAATAGTCGATAACTTGAAGAAGAAAAATTTTGTTTAATGACCTCTGTTGTACGCCTACCTATTCTAATGTTTGTCCTGCTTGATAATAAAAAAAAACGGAATGTGCCTTTCATGCAGAATTTCACCTAAAAATTTATATTTAACAGAATTTTACCTTCATATTTCCTTAGCTTTCAGAAATTCTGGTGGTTACATAACAAACATTTTTATGAATATTGTAATAAATACATTTTGTCGCTGACAGAATCCGCGTTATTCCATTCCGATACCGACAGAAAAATTCGGCACTGGGATGCTCAGCTGTTATGTAACGTAGTGCGTTCACTGCGTTGGGAATTACTTAAAATAGTTAGCTATTATTTAAAAGAAAATGCTGTGTAGTAAGGCTATGCAACATGGATTGGTGAGTTACATGTGTAAATATGTATTTTACTCTACAGTATATGTTAGATCGCTTAAATTTGTGCTATTGATTGATTATAGGAAGTCTGTGCCGTGGCCCGTGCCCCGTGGTTCTGCCAGTACGAGTAGTACGGTACTGTGGCCTGTGGTTGAAGTTGACAAGGCCGTCACAAGGGATAACTTTGAGCGTTTACGACCCCGTTTTTGTTTGCAAAACAAAATAAAAAACACAGCTGAAGTCACCCCACTTGACCGTAATTAATGTTTATGGTAATACAGGGTGTTTCAGAATTAAGTAACCCTTTTAATTTGTTAATAAATAAAAAAACTAAGAACGTTATGAAGTTGAAACTTGTTTTATTTAAAAGAAGAACATTTTTATGGTAATATTGTATCCTAGTTTTCAAATATAATATCTTTTAAATGCCCACCACTGACCACAATTGTTTTGACAAAATAGGGCTCTTCTCTTCGTTGCTTTCATAACCTTCATTAGTGTTTCTGACGAGAGTGCAAATTTTTGATATCCGCAAATTTTTGATAAAGATATTTAAATGTGTTTTTTGAAGGATCCTTGTTTTGAAATGGATCCTGTAATCACGTTGAACTTCTGTTATTGACATCGTTATTGACTGTAGCGATAATTTTCGTTCTTTCTTCTTTGCTGTAGTGAATCATGATGAAAATTTAAGGCTTGATAATTAAGCACAAATTTAGCAAGCTATACAGGATAATGACGTAACTATGATACAATATTACCATGAAAATGTTCTTCTTTTAAATAAAACAAGTTTCAACTTCATAACGTTCTTAGTTTTTTATTTATTAACAAATTAAAAGGGTTACTTAATTCTGAAACACCCTGTATCAATAAAGAAAAAAAAAACAAGGTAAAATCACTGAAAATGTCATTTATTCTACCTCTACATCATCTACAATGAAAGAGGAGGACTTCAGAGTACTGTTAGACGTTAGTAATGGATGAGTAGTTGAGTACACTCTGCATGCTTCAAAAGTTTTATTGCAAGTGTCACGGGGCTACTCGGGACACTTTTTTTTTGCTTCTGGCACCTTACGAATAGCATATGGAATTTTTTTGACAATGCCATTTGATAGCCCTCGCAAAGAGCTATAAAATGAGCCTAAACTTGTTTATGAAATGTTTAATCATAAGAAGTTATTAACAGTTATTAACAAAAAAACGCTCAAAACTGTCCCGAGTAGCCCCGGTTGATGGTAGGCAAGCAGCTGTAGAAATTTTGGAACAATTGAAGGTTTAGAATACCATCCTAATATCATACCATCAGTGGTGTATACATACCATACCATATAAGAATACAACTGTGGTATGCTTAGTGCATACCATCGGCGTGGTGTGGTACAACTGACTGCCGTGTGACTGGCTTGATCACAAAAGGGCGGGAAACAAGCAGAGGTCACACAGTGCTATGTAATGTCTCCCACGTATGTCTGTAGACTGTATCTATCTATATATGTATGTATCTATTAGTATAGGTTGGCAAAATTTGTTTCTCTAAGCAGGTTTCATTGAAGACCAGAGAATTTGTTTTATCAACAATTTTCTTATTAGTTTTTTCAATAGATCAAACAATATTTTTTGTTTGCACTGGTAAATCGAAAATCAGCAAACTGATGGACATTTTTATTTCTTTAACGTTTCAAATGTATCAATCATTCATTATCAAGTTGAAAGTGCAAAGTGCAAATGAAAAATATGGTTTGATCTTGAAAACACTAATAAGAAAATTTCCAAAAAAAAATGAATTCTCTGGTCTTCAATGAAGTATATATGTATCTATTCATCTATGTATGTATGCATATACTTATTGAAAATTGAAAAAGACTTATTGAAAAAACTTACAAGAAGTTAATAAATAAAACTAATTCTCTGGTCTTTAACAAAACTTGTTTAAGAGAAGAAATTCTGCCAGCCTACACTAGTATGTATATATCTACATGCAAGGAAGAGAAGACAGTACAATTGAACCCTTCAAACTTCAAAGCGCCTCTCACGCATTGTGATGTAATGTAAACAATGCAACCAAGAGTCTGAGATCCTTGGTTGTGTGGCAGTGCTAGGAAGTAGAGTAAACTTGTACAATTATGCTAGAAAATGTGTTAGTAAAGCATTTAAAGTGAAACAATAAATGAAATAAGGTCACTGAAGAATTTTTCATTTTATTTTACAATTGCACTGTAGCCAGTGGTGTTTCGGTGTACTCTTTTCTGCTCTGCCTTGCTGAAGATTAGAGAAAATTGTCGCCAAAGGTTCGAGAAGGTTGCAAATGTGTCGCCAAGATCTTAAGTTGACAGAAATTTTGCTGCCAATGTGTCTCCAAAGATCTTCAAACCTTCATCACTCTCTGCAGACGGGTCTAAAATGAACTTTATGAATAGTCTAAAAAAAAGTCTGCTCTGCCACTATGAATTTATTAATTACTGTCCAATATTAGAAATTTCCTATATGATACTAGAATGTTGCATCTTATTAGTGTCAGATTTATTTATAATTTTGGAATCTGGGTGCTTAATTGTGTACTTATTTCTCCTTTCATGGTTTGCAGGAGCCTCTGATGACTAGTTTAATGCAGCCCCACAACAGGGTTGGGAGTTATTACGATGTACTTTAGTTAACAATTTGATCCCTATAGGCTATGGCATTTTCCTATTTTCTACAATACAAAATAAGAAAAGCAACCTATTGTGACTATAAATTTTCAAAAGTAACATGTGGAATGATGCAGAAAGTGGGTAAATATCAAAATATCTTTAGGGACACATCAGCAGCAAAATTTATGCCTTCAGAAAATCTTGCCAACACATTTGGATTGAAATTATTGCATTCTAGAAATTACTTTGAAATTATTGCAATTACTGCAAATCCAAAAGCTCCAAAAATGGCAGTGAAGCTCTAGTTGACTCAGAAGGTAGATATTTTCTATGTATCAACTGGAAAATTGGACAGAAGCCACCTGTTCATCCAGCTAATTTTACCGTTTCCTAAGGCCCTTACTAAATTTCTTCAGTAAAAAATAGTAAAAGTGAAATCTTGTGGAATCGTGCAGTTGCAGCTCTATAAGTGGTGGGAAAGCTTTAGTTATGGCTTGGAAGGTTACTATATTCAATGCCTGCTGCTCTATAGTTATATATTTTTAATCTATTTAGATTCTTGCCAACCAATCCAGGCTGATTTTGCATTTTTGTTACCAATTATTTTGCATTTTATTCATCTGTCATTAATCTCATGGCTCATAAAATGATGGAAAAGCTCTAGCTAGTATTGAAGTAGAGGAGTACATTTTTTGCTAAGTATATACTTATTGCAACATAAGTTAAAAATTTGTTATACTGCATTATTTATGCATATAGATTTTTCGAAACATTGGTACCGTATTTATCCATGCCTATCAGATCTTTCAAAATATGTTTATGATGCAATTAGGTTGATTTTAATCATTCAATTCATTCTCTAAAATGAATTTTTGTCCAGTATCAAATAGACTTGGAATTTTATATTTCTAGATCCACCATGTGGGAGTTGCAGCTGCTGCCTCCGGCATCATGTGCCGTGTGATGAGTGCCTCTGCAGCTGCAGAAGCCGTGCCAGAGAAAAGAATTAAGAGCATTTCTGTGTACCGCTGGAACCCTGAGACTCCTGGTGATAAGCCTCGTATGCAAACCTATGAAGTTGATCTGAACACGTAAGTTCATTATTGAAATTTTCACTTCTGCTAGTGTTGTACCAATTTTATATATGTTTGGTAAATTTCATATGCTATTGACTCCCTATTTTTCCTCAGGAGCTTTCATATCCACAGTGGTTAATTATCCTAAAAATCATATCCTTCTCAACTTGGTTGTGACATTGAAGTCTGAAATCAATACCTATATCATGCTTTGTTTTTTAATTATGCAATCTTCTCAGCAATACTTCTATTTAATCATGTTTTGTGTCTCTCATCCATAGTCTTGATAAGTATCAAAACTATAGATAATTAACAATCTGTGATACTGCCATTTGAAGAATAAAGTGCAGACTTGCTTGATAATTTTGCATTCTTTCCCTTTGAGCCATTGTATAGCAAGTTTATTTACATTATTTATTTTCTATTATAGCTGTGGGCCTATGATGCTGGATGCTCTACTGAAGATAAAGAATGAGATTGATCCTACCCTAACCCTGCGGCGCTCCTGTAGGGAAGGCATTTGTGGTTCTTGCTCCATGAACATTGGTGGAGTCAACACCCTGGCATGTATCAGGTACTAGGTCACTCTCTTTAGTGGAGCTTCTTGTGATCTCACACTCCATTTGCATTAGATGAGAATGACTTCCCATCTGTACAATAACCCATATGAATTACCCCCCCCCCCGCTATAACTAGGGTTCAATTTATATATCAAAATTTATTGAGAAGTTATGCATTTATGATTGGATTGTTGATAATTTTCTCTATAATTCAATTATTCTCAGAAATTCCAAATTAGAGAATAATAATATCATCAAAGAATCCCCTATGTTTGTAGAATGTCATTATTGAATGATCATTGTTATGTTGATTCACACGTAACAACATTGCCTTATTAAATTGCTCCGATGAACATTGAATCTGCCATTATTATATCATTTGCATTCCACAACTTACTTTAGTATGCATTCAGTTAATCTTTAATTAATTTCGAAAACTTTATGTTCTGTTCTATTCCTGCAGCAAAATAGACACGAACCTGAGCAAGACGACCAAGGTGTACCCTCTGCCTCACATGTATGTCATTAAGGACCTGGTGCCAGACATGAACAACTTCTACGACCAGTACCGTAGTATCCAGCCCTGGCTGCAGCGCGACGACGGACTCAAGCCAGGCGATAAGCAGTACCTCCAGTCCACTGACGACCGCCAAAAACTTGTGTGTTTAATCATGGTTTAAGCCTTGACTGACTGCATAGTTTTCCAATGATATAATCCTACCGAGTTTAGGTGAAAAGCCAGGCGATAAGCAGTAGTACCTTCAGTCCCTTGACGACCGACAAAAACTTGTGTGTTTAATCATGGTTTAAGCCTTGACAGACTGCATAGTTTTCCAATGATATAATCCTATCGAGTTTAGGTGAAAAGCCAGGCGATAAGCAGTAGTACCTTCAGTCCACTGACGACCGCCAAAAACTTGTGTGTTTAATCATGGTTTAAGGCCATAGTGGCAAACTAGTGTGAATTCATAGAATCGGATCATTTTTAATTTTCTCATTTAGTAAAGATTTAAACCAATATCTTATGTAGGATGATACTGGTATGTGGTATCCATGATACTTTGCTGGTCTACTCATAAGACTTAAAATTTAACTTGAAGGAGAGGCTAAAGGTCTCCCTGATTTACCACTATGTTTAAGGCTTTAAACCTTGCCAGACTGCATAGTTTTACAATCCTACCGAGGTTACATGAAAATATACCTACACAATTTGACGAGGGTTCTGGAAATGCTCTCAAACAGATGAATAGGTTATCAGAAAGATGCTACATCCACGAGCAATCACACCTCCTTTCATTTGTTGCATTTGAATAATTTTTGTAAATTGTTAATACAACTTTACTTGTACGTCATTAAATCATATTTTAATTATTTAGTTCAATCTAAGCTGCACTTCATGTTGAGTGCCATTTGTGTTTCTCATTGTACATTCCAGATAATGTTGACTGTGAAGCATATATTATTGCCTGCAAATAGAGCTCTATCTGAGTATGAAGTCAATTCTTCCAAGTTGAGTTCATCGATTTTGTTCCTCGAAACTAAAAATCCCATAGTTGAATCATACAATAGTTCAGATGTGTATATTACACGAAATTGTAATAGTGAACCAGTCACTTATAAAACACTTACAATATGGAAAACTAAGCATTAGAACCTTTAAAAATAGAAAAAAGAACATTAAAATACAAGCTTTTACATAGGTACTTACAAAAATACATGCAAGCATGTGCAGAAGCACATCAGCCAATGTGTGACTGCTTGTTTGATGTTACCGTGTGTATTAGACGACATGACAATCATGGCAGCCATGAAATAAAAATGCACCTTTCTGCTCATTTAGTTTAGCACCACCAGAAAAATCGATTGCGCCTAGCTAAATACGCCACCAGACAAATTTTCTTCGAGATTTGTACTGTCGATCAAAGGACCTTAACACTTAGCAGTTACCTTCCTCCTGACGTGACTATGTAACATTTTTATGAGCAGGACGGGCTTTATGAGTGCATTTTGTGCGCGTGCTGCAGCACCTCGTGCCCTTCATACTGGTGGAACGGAGACAAATACCTGGGGCCTGCTGTGCTGATGCAGGCTTATCGGTGGATCATCGACTCCAGGGACGAGCACACCAAGGAGAGGCTGGATAAACTGCGTGATCCATTCTCCGTCTACCGCTGCCACACCATCATGAACTGCACCAAGACATGCCCTAAGGTACATATAGAAGTATAAATCATCTGCTGGCCGATTTATGTTTTTGTAATTAGTGGGTTTAGAATGGAGAAGCTGTCAGTGATTGGTTAGAAGTCGAAATAGTTTCGATTTCTCAACTCGTTAGGTATTATTTTTAAATATGTATAAAAAAACTCAACTAATTTTGATATTACTGCCCTGGGCCTTTATTACGAATAGCTTTGACAAAGATTAATGTATAAAACCACAATGGGTTGAGAGTTACTCTAGAACAGTGGTTCCCAAACTTTTTCATGATGGTGCTCCCTTTGGCTCCCTAGTGAATTTCTAGCGCTCCCTCACAGGCACATAAAAAAACAAACGCCTCTTTCTTGATATTTAGCACGCTGCAATTTTAAAAAATAAAGGTTAAACACAAATGTGTATTTCACAAATAGAACCCCATATAGTAAACCAATATACTTTTTAGCAGTTTAAACCCCAGGGTTTCCTAGTAACCCAGGGCGTCTCGGAAAAATTTACGGCCGGTCTTGCGGCCGATCTCAAGGCCAATCTCTAAATTCAATTGTCAAGGAATATCTCCCAAATTAATGAATGCAGCTCGATGAAATTTGGAACACGTACTATCCATTAGGTGATTAGGACCTAACGATGATGTCTAGCTCATGAAATTTTTTTAAATTTCACCTTCATTCGTAAGTTATATGGCAATACAGACCGAAATTCGCAGTGGTCAAAGAATTTCTTCCAAACTACCGAACAGATTCGAACGAAATGTTGAATATACATTACTAACTACAAAACACTGTTTTTAGCTCATGAAAATTTTTTCGATTTTGCCTTCGTTTGTTAGTTTTTTTATTTTGTTTTTTATTTTTTATTTCATCGTCATTTGTGATTTCACAATTCCATTCGGCCCGTATCGCCGGGTACTTTGTCGCTTAAATTCGCGATGATGAAAAATTTTCTTCTAAACTATTTTAACGAAACATTATATATAAATACCTAACCTCCCAACGGTGATGTTGTCACGAGCTAAATATCACCGTTGCTGAGGTCAGGTATTTATATACTAAGTTTCGTTCAAATCTGTTCCGTAGTTTAGAAGAAATTTCTTGATCACTGCGAATTTATGAACGTATTGCTGTTTAAATCACGAATACGCGGGTGGGTGATTTGGAGCGGTTCGATGAGGTGTTGGTTTCTGCCCTCTCGACCATCACCAATGTCAGCTTCGAGCGCGAATCTCTTGAACAAGCTGTGTTAGTGGCTTCACGCTATTCCTTCGGATGCTCTTGGAACACTTCTAGATCCTGACTCCTTCCGCGTCTCAATTGCTCTTCGAGTTGGCGCAAATATATGCGAACCCCACACTTGTCGGTGCGGAAAGCGTATGGATGCACGAGGGCTGCATGGCCTTTCTTGTAAGTACAGCGCTGGGCGACATCCAAGACACTCGACTCTGATCGATGTGATCAGGAGGGCTCTTCAGAGCGCTGGCGTTCGTTCCTTCATGTCTTGAACCCGTTAAGGTCGGGGCCCTGATCATTGACATGAAACCATTCCCTGTTTTTAATTAATAAAATCAATTCTTTTTTTTGTTGGAATGGTGAGTGTGGGAATCACGAATGAAGGTGAAATTAAAAAATTCGCGAACGGAGTCAAAACAAACAAAATTCGCGAGCTAAACATCACTGTTAGGTAGTTAGGAATGTATTATCGAAATTTCGTTCAAATCTGTTGAGTAGTTTGGAAGAAATTCCTTGATCACAGCGAATTTCGGCCCGTATCGCCGTATAACTCTCGAATGAAGGCGAAATTCAAAAAATTTTCAGGAGCTAAACATCACCGTTAGGTCCTATTGAACATGTGTACCAAGTTTCATCGAGTTACGGTCATTAGTTTGGAAGATATTTCTTGGTCATTGAATTGGGAAATTGGTCGAGACCGGCCGCGAGTCCGGCCGTAAATTTGTCCGAGACGTCTACCCAGGAGAAGACGTAAAGACCCATTGCTGGGAGTCATGTTAAGCTGCACGTGTTGTGTACAAATCGTCAAACGAACGTTCGAATTTTTGACTACGACTTCGGATTGCCGCCCCCTACCGTCCCTTTCTTCCTCACCGCCCCCAGGGGGGCGGTGCCGCCCACTACGGGACTCACTGCTCTAGTAGTACATTTTTTTCGGATATGAAGAAGGTGCGCGCGCGGGCATAACCAAAAATATATCAACAGCGACTAATTTTCACAAATATTTTATTTCACTTCATTTTCTGCTATAGTTAGTATCTTGATTTAATTTTCACATTAACAATAGATTTTTGAAAGTTGAAATTAAGATAGCTTTTATATTTTGCTCCAGAATCATAAATATCTGCTGATGTTTGTCGTAATTATAACCTAACTTATGCTTCTATGTCATTCAACTGAACCAGTAGCGTAAGATATTCTATGAAATCATTCTATTGTTCTACTTAATATTCAATATACCGCAATAATTATCAATTTATGGGATGAATGACGAGCATTTTGAATTTTTTTATCCAAATCAGCAAATTCTATAAATTTTCATTTGCATATAAAAATTTATTCAGCTCTGCTTGCGCTGTCTAAGGTGTAAATTAAATGTAATAAGTAAGCAATAAACTCGTGTTTTCGCAGGGTTTGAATCCTGGCCGGGCTATTGCTGAAATCAAGAAGCTATTGTCGGGCATCGCCAAGAAGGATGAACCCAAGATCAAGCCATTAGGCGCGTAATTGATGGGATGCAACGAATTGAAATCTTCACGTAATTTGATTTATATGTGCTAAATATGTTAGCATACAGATGAAATATTTTGAACTTGTGAGTTTTAATCCATGGAGACTTCTTAGGCAAACCTCTTTATCAATTACTGTATGCATTTCCTGTTGTCATTTCTTGTTTTTATTTTTACTCGCCCGACAAATAAGTCCAAAATCACATTTTTCTGTGCCACTTTTAAAGCTCCACCTGTTCTAATGCTACGGACTTCCATTGTATGATTGGATATGAAAGACGAAACGAACTGTACAGAGCTGATAATAATATTATTATCTGAAACTTCTGCCCTTCCTCATTTGACCTGTAGTTCACTCTAGTGTGGTGTGTATTCTAAAGACTTTATTCATGACCCTGCTTGCTTGTATGTAATTGAATAGAAGTGTCGGCACTGAAGAAATAGGCTCATGGCCTGTTGCCGATTCTTGTACTTTTCGTGACTTGATTCACAAGAGATCCGGCCTTTGGAACCCGATCTTTCCATAGCTGACGATTGATTGAGATAGCTGCTGGGCTTATTGTCTGGTACGTAAGGTGATCTTCATTTCATGACTTAGCATATGCTCCTGCATAGCTTTGTCTACCTATTCTTGCTGATGTGTCCTGTAGTTTTTGGATATCTTTAGGTTTTTATATGCCGTTCCGAGCAATACGGATGCTGATGAGTCTAAAATTAGTTTAGAATAGATTAATTCAAATTCATTTGATTGCTATCCGTCTTCGACTGAGTTGTAAAAAGCATCACTTATGGTGACTGATAGGTTTCGATCTTCAGCTAGCTGTGAAAATTGTGGTCGATATCAATAAGGTGGCCGGTGGCTGAGTTGAGTAGGATTAGAGCAGTGAGTTTGGAACTTAGCTTACATATTCTGTGATGTACAGAATAATCACAGACCATGCATGACCTTTCAACGCTCACACCTCTTTATTATTATCGCTCTGAACCCTTCCTACTTGCGTTGTTTTTATCGGGAAAACTTCATGCCAAAATCAAACGAGAATAAGATGTAGTCAATCAAAACGACATTAGTAAAATAGAGAATAGTCCAAACTACTAGCTGGACCTTGCACAGCCTAACATTGTATGGGGTAGATGCTCATACTGGAATATTTAAAACTCGATTCGAAGGAAACGTGCAAGACCAATTGGCGTTTGGGACAAGGCTTTTTTTTGCGTAGGGACAAGAAGACGATGTTAATCAAGGAGCTTCCAAATAGCGGGTTGATTTGAGGTAAGCGAGGTGCAGTTAAGAATACCGTGGAACACATAATAGCTGTCAACGCAATCAGAAGGCAAACATTTCGTAACGCGGATGTGCACTGGTAAAGGTCGCATTTTTATAATCACTGTGAGATTTCATTAGTTTTAAAATTTAAGGGTGTAAGATTTATTTTAAGATGTATTCTCTAGTCGTCCGAAAATTTCTTTGCGACCGTCACATGCCCTAGAGATCCAGGATAGATTTTAACGATGTGAAGGCAGTGGCAAAAGTCTTATTTAAGATGTGAAAAATGGTCAACTACTGGGGTTCCTTAAAAAATTGCAAGGAATATGGGAAATATTAGTATAAACAGTGTTATATTCTTTATGAATGATTACTTCGATATCTTATGGGAACAGATCAAGTGGAACGTTAATCGGGTAAATCCTGCATATCAAACCGAGATTCAATAATCGCCAACCTCATTGGTTGATTGCAAGAAATGTGTTTTGGGACATCGTGGTAACGAAGCTCAACTGTCATTCTTATTTGATAACGGAAAATTACATTTCGTTTAATAATGGGAACTCTGGATGCCTACAATAGTTTATTGTTTGGAAAGAAACAATAATTTCTCCATATAATGGTTTCAGAGTTTAGCAGACCGTAAGCCTATCGCCGATTCTTAATTAACATCGCAGAACATTCACATTTCACAGCATTTTGCGGTCTCGAACTCACTGCTACAATTCTACTGTGCTTAACCGCCCGGCCTCCTCGCCGATTCTGACCAGAAGCTGGCGCACAGAGCTTGGATCGAACTCGTGCCTTTCTGCGCCAATCTACCGATTCGACACTTCAACGAACGCGCCTGCGAACTGGCCTGGCACTCGAACGCAAAACCTAACCGCTGGGCCACCCTGCCCAATTTTTACTTATATCTTTACTTTGATGTCGTTAGGTGCAAGCCACGCATGATACAACCAATTTTATTGTAAGTTTATTATTTCATTTCAATTTTTATCAAATATGCTAATTAATCGGTATAGACCGTATAGCCCAGGTTCAGTTAAGAGGATTTATAGTATATCTGATACGATTGACGAATTTTCGTAATTTGCATTCTTTCTGTTTATTAATAGCAGTATCATTTGATTAATCAAACAATTAATTATATATGTTTGGGGTAAAAATTATCGAAGGTCAGGAAACGTTTTGTGCAAACTCTACCGCGAGTTGTCTGAAAGGAGTCGACCTATACCACGCGAACTACGACAAGAATGGTGAGTTTCATTATATAATATGTATTGTCTGTTAACATCATCGTTTGTTACAACACGCAATTAATTTTATTAAGGTTAAATTTGCCTCCTTCAATTCTGGCCTGGTCACGCTGTAAGTAGCGGTAGGTATTTGATGTTAGACAGGCTGACAGCGGATGCAATATTTTTCCTCGCTTAAATCTCAATGACTAGGTTCATTACCTACTCAACTGAATCGCCAGACCTAAGCACCTAGGTAAGCTAAAGGTAGATGTTTTCCACGCTTGTACAGTGAGTCTCTGTTGAAGAGTAAATCTAATAAATAATCGTCGTTGGAGATGAATAAAGAAATTACAATATCAATATTATTTGACAATATATATACCTAACAATTATTCAGGTTGCCAAGGTAAAGGCCAGAGTGCCAGAGAGCAGGTTATAATTTATTACAAAATATAATTTGTAAAATGTCTAACACTACAGTAGATGAGTAGAATCAATAAATAAATGAAAATCTAATTATTTCTCATAATATACCTAGCAGTTTAAGCCCTCAGGGTGAAATTGATTAATTTAAGCCAAAGCCCTGAACACAAGCTTTGGCCTCTGTAGAGCGTAGGCTGTAGGGTAAACGCAGTATATTCTGACATCGTGGGTAATTCCGACACTTCTTGAATTTTTTTATTTTTATTAGGTAAGCTTTTTCTTAGTTCCAAGCATTTGTTTTTGGTGGTTGAAAACTTGAAATAGTGACATCATACTCTTGCGCGCCATACTATTGCCAAAACACTACGTCCGGGCCGTCTGGCAGGAAAATATTGAGATCCAAAGAGAGACAGTGCGCGTCACCCAGCAAGAACATCAAAAAATGTGTCAAAGTTGATAGTTGACCTTGCTCTACCACAGTGTGGAATTCTAGAGGGATATTAAATTAACCGGTACACATAGCATATTGGAAAGCAGGACCTGAAAGCTTGGAAAGGCCAGGAACTTTACACTTTCAGTTAATTATTTACATATCTTTATCTCTTTCCAGAATTCCAGCTGTGATTGGTTGATGGGATTATGATTTAGCCCCTTTCAGCTTTCCAGCTGTGATTGGTTAATGGAATTGTAATGTTATCTGCTTTCTAGCTGTGATTGGTTGATGGGGATGCTTTCAAGCTGTGATTGGTTGACTTGATGGGGATGCTTTCAAGCTGTGATTGGTTGATGGGGATGCTTTCAAGCTGTGATTGGTTAATGGGGATGCTTTCAAGCTGTGATTGGTTGTGCCATAAGCCCCGCGTCCAAATATCTTTTATGTACTACAGTACTGGTTAACTAAATATGTACTTAAATTAAACTTGATCATTACAAACAAAAGGCTTGGAAATTTTTTAAAAAATCCATTAAATAAAATAAAAAATATCCATCAAACAAGAGACATCTAAATAATTCTATAGCAAACCTGAGATACTATACAATTGAAACAGTTTGTCCACTTTTGATCCACCTTTTCATTTATAGCTAGTCAGTCACCTGGCTGAGCACTGTATCAAAGGAAAGCTTTTCACCTTGGGTGGAAAGCTTTTTCATAAGTGAACTTCCATTCTTAGAATTCCAGCCAGAATCCACCCAATTTTTTAGAATTGTTTCCATGCCTGCAGGCTCAAAATTAATGCTTAAAAATTTTAATCATATTAATTGATGATCCATGTTACCTGTAGAATTCATTAAATAAATTTATAACTAATAATAGAGTAATAGTCCATAATTTATTTAAAATATATATTTAAAATATCCATAATTTATATATCCATTTTTATATAATAATTGCTTGCAACAATGAACAGAATGCTCATAATTATTGTCATAACAGGTTAAATTTCTTTCCCTTTCTGAGTCTTGATGAATGCATTATCACCATTATCATCCGCATTATGCAATATTTAATAGTTGTTTAAAGATTATTACACAAACAAGAACATGGACAATTTTCAAATCATATGCACATAGTCATAGTCATAGATGATATGGTATACTGGTATAGTATAGTACTATCACAATTATACATATAATACAATTTCATATTGAATAAAAAACTAAATAGGCTTGAGCCTAGACTTGTAAACTGGTTACAGTGGTTAGGCTATAATAAATCATATTTTAAAAATCATTACTTATTTAAATAAAACTTAAAGAACCTACAGAAACTGAAAGAGTCAAAGAGCTATTCAATTGACTATCATCTTCATCAAAAATCTAATTCATGTATTATTATAAAGTATTATATAATTATATTATAGTACTGTTTAGAATTTTAGATTATCTCCGGAATACAAATTATAGGCATTGGCCAATGGCCATTGGACAGGAAACTGTACATTTGCAAATTGCACTCACTGAGTGACTTACACTTACAGTTACAGAATAGTGAGAATCAGTGTGGAAATCCAGAGGGGTAATATATTAACTGGTAAACATAGCAAATAGGAAAGCAGGACCCAAAAATCTGGAACGTCCAGCACACTTCCACTTTCACTCCATCATCATCACTGATGAGTCTCTGCAAGATGCCACAGCTGTTTCTTTAAAAAAAAACTGCTTGCATCATCACAGTAACAAGAATCCAATCAACGCTCGAACGCGTCCAACGTAACAGTCACAAGAATCCAATAAATGCTTGAACGCGTCCAACGTCACAGTCAAATGAATCCAATCATTGCTAGAACGTGTGCAACG